AAAAAAAAACCTGGAACAGCATTCCTTAGCTGTATTTGGGAATGTCTGACTGCATGGTTGATAATGTGTCTTTATATCTGTATGCTGAAACATGCATCTGTGGCTTTTATTCAAAATGTGAAGCACTTTGTAATTCTGTTTTGAAAATTGCTGTATAAGTAAATTCACTATTATTAATAGTTACTTACTTAACCTCTGGTTTTATTGTTGCATGTTTATATAGAATGAGTATCTAGTTGGATACCCAATTTCTAACATTTTATGGCCAAGTATAATAAGGTCAGTTTCATATCAATTTAGAATCACTTAAATATGGTGTGTGGCATTCATTGATAGATAGAGCTACTTATAATCTTCATAGCACTGATAATGTATGCTATGCCTAAGAGAAACGTGGAATATAAAAGGAATTCGTCCTGCCACAGAACCATGTGGAACTCTATCATTACCCTTAGAGTGTGAATAGGACTCCATATTTTCATGAACAAATTCCAGTCTGGTGGATAGACATGATTTAAAGCACTGCAGCCTAGTACTTGTAATACCTATGGTACTCTCAAATTGCTGTGATAAAATATTATGGTCAACATTATCAAACACTGCACTGGCATCTAGAAGAACGAGCACAGAGATGATTCCACTGTCAGAGGCCATACGAACATAATTTTCAATCTTTACTAATGCTGTTTTTTGTATTGTGATGTTCTGAAGCTTGATTGAAACTCTTCAAAAACCATTACTCTGCAGATGATCAGTTAGCTTTCATCATTATTTACTACTACTAAACTACTATTTCAAGAATTTTTCCGATAAAAGAAAGGTTGAAGGTTATAATTAGCTATTACCTATAATTAGCTAAGACAGGTGGGTCAAGTTTAACTACTGCTAACCTGTGGTAAGCAGCCCACTAACAGAGACAGACTGATCATATTTCAGGTTGTTTCATATATAAAGAAAACAGTATAGGCATGATAAACACAAGATTTGCCACAAAAAAAGTCTTTCTGTTTAAAATATAATGGGGTCATAAATCATTTATGTATGTAGAATCATAGTCTTCCAAATGATCATCATTCATACTAGAACAACCTTAAAATATGTCTTCTAATTTCTGGTAATTTAAGGCCATACACAAGAGAATTTAAAGCTGGAGGAATCACAACAAACACCAGTGATAAAATGACAGCTATAAATGGATTAATCACTTCAAGATTATTCCGGCTCAAGGCAACATCACAAAATCCAGCGATAGAATAAATCACAAATGAAATTGTGTGTGGCAGACAGCTCTCTAATACATTTCCCCTAAATTCTGCTGAGCTTTTCCAGCAAATAGACACAATTCGTAAATAGGTGTAGAGGCTATAAAAGAGGGGAAGGAAAATTGTGGCTACAGTCAAAAGCATACCTACAACATTGTTGACAGCAGTGTTAACACAAGACAATTTGACTACATTCCAGTTAGCACAGAACACTTTGTGGATCTCATTGCCACATAAAGGAAGTGTGGCAGACAAACAACGACATGCTGCAAGAGAAAATGCAGGAAAAATCCAAGCCAGTGCTGTCAACTTCACAACAGTTTCAAGAGTCATCTTTGTGTGATAGTGTAAAGGAAGGCAAACAGCTATATATCTGTCATAAGCCATAATACTGAGAACAGTAAGTTCACAGGATGCATATGAGTAAATTACATAGATCTGAGTGAAACAAGCAGGACGTGAGATCAACTGAGTGTCAGACAGAAGGTCCATGAGAAATCTTTGGAAGAAACCTGAAGACCCATACAAAGCATTAACAGATAAACATGCAATGAAAATATACTCATGTAATGGGCTCATGTAATGTTGTCTGTTGGGATATTACCACTATCATGAGAAGATTAGTAAAGATTGTAAAGATGAAGAGCAGAAGACAAAATATAAAG